TGAACAAAAATAATCTAGTGGCCAAATCAAAACAGCTCCAAAGTATCAACAAAAGGCACGGCGGACACATACACCGGACCGATAAGAACTAACTAACACAGAATGCCCCGGTCGATGGTGATGGTTGTCTTGGTGACGGGCGGGTGTGACAGGTGTCTGCACGCCGTCCCGCACTGCGGACAAAGACAGTTAGCGGTGACTGTGTACGTACGGACGCCGGGTTCGGGAAAGGACCCGTTCAAAGTGTTGCGCTTATGCGACGGAAAGTCTTTGGATTTGGGCGATGGTCCGTCCGTCGTCGTCGTCGTCGTTATGCAGCTGAAGCTCTTTCGCTGGCTGATCGGCGTCGATTTCGGGGTGATGGGATTCGGATCCGTGGGCAGGGCGAGGACGGGCGCTAGGTTGGACTTCAGCGAGATCCACGGATGGTCGAGGAGTTCGTGAACCGTAGGCCTCTCTCTGAAAAATAAAACAAATATATCAATATTCAAACAGATTTAGATATAGATCGATTCGCAAATGAAAATGATCAATTATAATAGCTTTATCCAGAAAAGATAAGCGGATATAACAAATAATATAAACACACAATTTCGATCCATTGCATATGTACCAATTATTTTTGCTTTTTAAACTTATGGCATAACCTGATAAAATCTGCCCAAGGAATCAGGGAAGATAAAAAAAAAGCAGAACACAGCTGTCATACATCATACATCCTCTCGTTGGACAAATATGTCCAAATGTCCAATATAAGACATGTATAACTTAAGATCAACCGTCAACAGTACTGGGAGAATTTTCAGGTCAGGGGCTTGGGGCACCCTTAAAAAGAAAATTCCACTTCTCCAACTCTCAGTGGATGACATTCCAAGAATTTACAACTCTGAGAAACACCTCACTGTAGTATTGAGTAATAAAAAGGATTGGAAGGAAGAAACGTTTGCTCAGCATGTAAAATATCATACTATAACGTGGTATACTGATGCTTCCACAACCAAAGCAGGGACAGGGATACGAGTATTTGGGCCGAAAACTAAATATTCCGAATCAATGGGTACCTACCCAAGCATCTTTCAGGCAGAAATTTACGCTATCGAAATATGCGTAAAATTTATCTTAGATAGGAACTATCGAACACAGGAAATAGCCATCTTATCCGATAGTCAAGCAGCACTAAACGCGATCAACTCAGTAACCATCAATTCGAAGTTGGTCAAAGAATGCCTAGAGAGGCTTAATAAATTAGACGAAAATAAAGTCCTCCTACTTGCCTCCTTCTATCCGTTGGGTGCCTGCTCACCAAGGGATAGAAGGCAATGAAAAAGCAAATGATCTTTTATGCTATTAAACTTTTATGCTTTAATTTAAACCACCAATTTGTTGTCAGAACGTCGGGGACAGCAAGATAGTAGCTTTATTTCAAGACGTTTCTAGCAAATATTATGGTTTCGTTTGGTTTGGTGCTGAGTTCTTGGTTATTTGCAATCAAATTGTGCGATAGTCGAATTATGATCTGTGAATGTGGATGTAAGCACGTGAAAAGTTCGTCAAAAACTAACTGAAGGTAATCTCTTCTCCAGAAGACCAGCCCTGTGTCCAGTACTATCTGTTGAATATCGCAGAAGTCAACTTGCTTTTGCAAGAGAACATGAAACCTAGAATCAAGAAGATTGAAGTAACCTGTCGTTCTGGTATCACCTGACTAATTTGTTTCGAAGCCCTTACTAACTCGGTTATTGCGGATATATTGTGTTATTGTGGATATATTGTAGATTCTATCTCTCAATAGAAGGAAATTGTCAGTAGGTATGAACTCCATTCTCATCTTAAACTGACAAACTAACTAACTCTCATTTTCTCTTTGCGTGTATGTATTTAATTTTAATTAATTATAGGGGTTTAAGCGTACTGGAGTTTAATTGTAAAGTTCCAATTAACATCAAATACTTACCTTGGATCAACCACAAGAGCGCCCTTGATAAAATCTATGGCCGAACTCGATACGTCGCCAAAGTGTTCAGGTTCGAAGCTCAGCGAGCACTTGGATATGTTTAAGAACGTCTGCTGCTTGCTGTCTGCTCCGAACGGACTGAAACCGGACAAAAGTACGTAGGCCAGGACTCCCACAGACCAAATATCAGTCGATAAGCATATGGGCTCGTAACTAAGCACTTCGGGTGCTACATAATCTACAGTACCTGAAATAGACCAGACAGCTTGTGTTACAATAAAAATTTAATACAAAGAAACTTGATTATTGATTTGTTGGTAAAAACAAAAAGAAATAACATCGTTGTAAATACTGCCATAGCAAACACTAATACATTGGTACACTAATTTATTGAATAGTTAATAAATGTATTATTAAATTATCTTCTACTTATTGTTACTACTTTATTAGGTAGTTACTACTCAAGGTAGTGAGGTAATAATAGGCGGTTGAAGCGTAATGCTAGCCACATTACCTTGTATACCGAACGGCTCTAGTATGGAAAAGTACCTTGCTACTCCCAAGGCGTTAAACGCTATATACGGGAGCTATTATTATTATATATCTTCTACTTATTCATAGATTATCACAAAATTAAACTTGAGAGACAGTCAATCTGTCATCATAAAGCATTTTTATGGTAAAACCTTTGTTATCAGAGAATACTTATGAAACTGTGAAACAAGATCGTTACCTAAAATTTCCCGCACTGTAACACCAGGTTGCAGAACTTTTGAAATACCAAAGTCGCACAACTTGATGTCGTCACAGCTGTCCTCCACCGAGAGTAGTAGGTTTTGAGGTTTGAGGTCGAGATGGGCAATGTTGCGGTCGTGCAAGTACGAAACTCCCTCGAGGATCTGTTTCATGGCTTTGCGGGCTTCCATTTCTCCCAGGCACTGACCGCTGTCCAAGATGTGTTGGAGTTCTCCGCCCGCGGCCAATTCCAACACCAGAACCTAAAAGTAAATATAGTTGTAATATATATACTCCATATTTGAACTAAACTGTACGAGGGTTGTTTTTTATATTCTGCATAAAGAAACATAGTAGGCGCCTGTTGACATATATCAAATGTCAAAATTAACTGTCTTCTTCAGTTAACTTAACGCCAAAGAAACTAAACCGCTTCGTTTAAAAATGTACCTAAACTGAATTTTTGAAGAAGACGAGTTAGTCGAATAATGGAATTAAGCCGAGAAAATTTTTGCCCAATAATTTTTTACAATTTTCGAAGACAGTTGTCTCAAAAAGAATGTCTTGCCGAATTGGTTTTTGTTTACGGTAATGAAGAACCCTGAACCATATCTGTCGATAGTTTCTCATTGGTATGAAGAATTTAAACATGGACAAGAAAATAGACATGTCACATATAGTGAAACTGAAGCATTATTGGGCATTTCAAAGACCTCAATTCAAAAAATTTTACATGAAGAATTATCTGTAAAAAATAGTTTCTCGCCGGATACTGCATCTGTTGACGGAAGAATAGAAAGCAATTAGAGTTAATTGGTGTCAAAAATCTATACAAAACGGATTTACTCTTATGAACCCGAAAATAATCACCAATCGGCTGTTTGAGTGTTCCGAGATGAGCCAAAACCGACGAGTTATCCGTTCCCGAAGTATTTCCAAAAACTCTTAAGATGGTGGCGACATTTGTATCAAAAGCGGGTCATGTAGCAGCAATTCCTCTGCAAAATCAAAAATCTATTACTGCTGATTGGTCGCTGACTGGAATACATATCTAGGTATTTGTTGGCTGGAAGTATGTAATTGCTGAGTTTGGAAAAACCAACCCTCAACGATGAATGATCCTCCACCAAGAAGATAAAAGTTCCCACACACCTAGAAAAACAATGGATTTTTTAAAGCAAGAAACCATCGAATTGTCAGACCATCCTCCATACAGTCCAGACCTAAATCCTAACGACTTTTTTACTTTTCTAAAAATTAAGAATAAACTGCGTGGTCAAAGGTTCCGGTCCTCAGAAGATGCAGTCAGTGCTTTTAAAAACGCAGTTTTGAAAGTACCAACTGTGTAGAATAACTGCTTTCAGAATTGGTTCCAACAAATGCAAAAATGCATTTCACTTCGTACAGAATACTTCAGACAACCCTCATAGCACTTCAACTGAAATTGAATTAATTAATAGCGATTATTAATACTACTAAATACTACAGCCTGATCATAACTAGCCAGCCGGCTTACGAATATATGTAACAAGTACAGGGTGTCCCATTTTGGTTGAAATCATACGGTATCTCCGTTATTAGTAAAGATAGAAGGATGCGGTTTGCACAAACCTGTCCTACTTTTTGTCAAACGGAAGATGCTGTCAACAAAATGTTCATAGCCCTCTTCGTTTCTGAGCTACGGGGTCTTTTCGAAAATTTTGCAATTTGGGTCAGCCCCCGTATCTCCGTTATTATGAATAATATGGAGAAGATGAAAACTGATTCTTGGAGAACTTTTTACGCAGAATACAGTGACGTAGTCTGTTTTTCTACGAAAAAAATATTTTTGAAGATATGAACTAAAGTTATGTCTTATTAAATGGAACACCCTGTATATTTATAAATCATATGATCCGCCTTGCTATGGGCTTCTCAGAAATATATATCACTCTATATTTATTTTCACTATTTACTGAAATATTTAAAATATATCATTTTCTTATATAAATAACAAACAATCAAAATGGTATTTACTAAAATAGTCATACAAATATTAAAATTTATTTGGAATTGATATATTTTACTTTTAAACTGTTACCCCTGAATCTCTGAATATAGTTTTCTTTTTTTATAACGGAATTTATTATAACGGGATGGGTTTTGCAAATATCTAAAAGCTTGCATTATTAAAGCATTTTCCAGGGGTTCGACATGTGTTAGTTGCCTCGATATATTTCATATTTCAAAAATCCCCAAAATCAGAAATCGAAAACGGACAAATCCAGGAATAAAAGAGGCCATCATATGGGTGCTTGGTTTCAATTCATTGATTTGAGAAATAATAATTTAACAAAATTGTAATATTTACGTTGTAAGTTAAGTTGTGAGGGGGAGCCCCATCTTGCTGAAAGTATATTTCACGTAAATTAGCTAAAGGAACATTTAAAAGTCCCGATACGATAGCTTCCAAGATTTACGAACAGCGGTAG